AATTAAAAGTATCTTTAATAATTATTAGTGACTCCCTTGGGCCTATCTCGCATAGCGAAGTTTTTTAAATGAAGATTTTATATTACAAATAGACACTCTCAGTTCTTTGTCTATATTCAGTAGGGTGATTCATTTCCGCAAAATTTTCTGTTTTTTCGGTGCTCAAGCAAAATATTAATCTACATATAGAAAGAAAAATTCTGATCAAGTTTGATGGACCTTGTGGGGGAATTTCACGGATTAGGATCAAAATTTTTAGCGTATAATATACGTCGTGTTTTATTATTATATGAAAAAGAAAGGCAGGGGGCGCTATAAAAATTGTTATTAAAAATTGGGAATTTTTTTAAGCTTACGCTTGAAACTATATTGGTATTATGACTTAGTAGCAGTCAGGATGGAAATAAACATAGCAGGCAACAAGAGGCTACTCATTTTAACCTCTGCATACCTTCCCTATGACTCGCCCAGCCCTCCACCAACAGATGAGCTGAGGGATTTAGTAGATTCCTGTCGGGCCGAAAACCTGCAGGTACTCATTGCTGCTGAAGCAAATTCACACCATATAACATGGGGCAGCAAGGACAACAACAAAAGAGGTGAGTCTTTACTTGCATTCATTCTAACCACTAACCTGGAAATATTGAATCGTGGAAACGAACCTACTTTTGTAACCAGTAGACGGAGCGAGGTTATTGATATTACCCTTGGTTCTTCCTTCGTTTCAAACCACATTGGCAAGTGGTACGTGTCTAGAGAGCCTTCGCTCTCAGACCATCGGCATACTCTCATGGAAATCGACAACGTCGATAAACCAGGAGATGAATACCGAGACCCACATAAAACCGATTGGTTCGGATACGGAGTGGAGCTGGGGGCAGTGTTAAAAACCGTTAAAATAACTCTTAATACTAAAAATGATATAGATAAAGTTGCAGAACAACTACGGGACGCAATAATAATATCATATCACAATAACTGCTCGTTAAAGAACAGGAAAACTTCTAGGAAGGTGAGCTGGTGGAACACCGAACTCGCCAAACTCAGAAGGAAAACACGTAAACTTTTTAATAAGGTTAAAAAGACGAATGAGTGGGGGGGGAATACACCGAAACACTCACAGAGTATAACAAAACTCTTAGGAAATCTAAGAGGGATTCATGGAGAACATTCTGTCAGGAAATTGAAAATACAATTGATGGATTCAGACTCCACCGCATTCTAGCAAAAGATCCAATAAACCCTGTGGGGACTTTAAAAACCCAAACAGGGCAACACACTAAAACTGGAATGGAAACATTAGAACTATACTTCTTAAAACTCATTTCCCTGATTGCACAACAAACTCGAATGCAGCAAACCAAACCCACACGAACCGCAACTCTCAAAAAAGGGTCTCCAGCCAAGAGTGGGAAACTGCTAAACGGGTAGTTACAACAGAGAAAGTAACATGGAAAATACGCATCTTCAATCCATACAAATCACCGGGACCAGATGGGGTACTGCCTGTGCTTTTGGAACAGGCAATAGAAACGCTGGCCCCGCATATTTGTAGGCTCTACAAGGCAAGTTTGGTGCATAAACATGTACCAAATACCTGAAAACAAGGCAAAGTTGTCTTTATACCTAAACCGGGGCGTCCAACGTATGCCGTGGCAAAGGCCTATAGACCAATAACTCTGACGTCATTTCTATTGAAAGGATTAGAAAACCTGATTGATCAGCATGTCCGGCAAACCACTCTAATAGAGAGGCCATTTCATACAAACCAACATGCCTATCAATCAGGAAAATCTTGTGAGTCTGCTCTGCATCATCTTGTAACCAAGATAGAGGGAGGACTCAATAGCCAAGAAATAGTCCTAGGAGCACTTCTTGACATAGAAGGAGCTTTTGATAATACTTCCTTTAAATCAATGAAAGCGGCCGCTCGCAAACATGAAATAGAAGACACCATCTGCTGGTGGATAGAAGACATGTTATGCGGACGGCAAGTACAGGCACAAATGTTCAGTGAAACCATGCAGATGAATATACACAGGGGATGCCCACAGGGTGAAGTCCTTTCTCCTCTACTGTGGAACTTAGTGGCAGACGAACTGCTGAAAACACTAAACAATCAAGGGCTGTATGCCCAAGGATATGCCGATGACATAGTCAACTTTATCCAAGGAAAACACCAAACCGCAGTCTTTGAACTCATGCAAAGAGCTCTTAGGCTGACAGAAATGTGGTGCGTTAGGGAGAATCTGTTGGTAAACCCTGACAAGGCACAACTCATAACCTTTACTCGAAAAATAAAATTGGAGGTTTTAGAAACTCCGACTCTGTTTGGAGGAAGGCTAAACAAAACGAACCAAGTAAAATATCTGGGTCTAATCCTAGATAGCAAACTTACTTGGAACCAACACTTACAAAAAGTGACCAACAATTGTAAAATGGTCCACTGGCTATATTTAGCAATAACTTATGAAGCGGTTGTTTGGTGGCCAAAAGTAAACCAGAAAACAGCCCTCAATGCCCTCTCAGGAGTACAGAGGCTGGCATGCCTTTGTATTACAGAAGCACTGAGAAGTACACCAAGAGCCTCTATGGAAATAATTCTAAACCTCTCACCCCTTGACCTAGTCATAAAGGGGGAGGCCAGAATGAGTGCATACAGACTGGAAATCTCCAACAACTGGAATACATTGGGACATATAAAACATACCAGAATAACACATGAAGTAAAGGATTCTATATTAAATATGGGATCAGATCACATGACACCCCTCCTAACCTTTAACAGACTCTTCCAGGTCAACTGTAACTGGATCGAGGTAAATAAGGAGATAGATAAATACTTGCTTAGCGGTCTCGTAAAGTATACGGATGGATCTAAAACTAACTAGGGAACAGGCTCTGGCGTACATGGAGTTAAATCCAAATGCGACATCATCGTCTCACTGGGAAAACATGCCACTGTATTTCAGGCTGAAATACATGCAATCGAGTTGTGTGTACGAGAGAATTTAAGAAGGAAGTACAAAAAACAAACTATTCTAATTCTCTCAGATAGCCAGGTAGCTTTAAAGGCTCTTGTTTCAAACAGAATTAAGCCAAAGCTTGTCTGGAACTGCTTTGGAATACTAAATGATCTGGCAACCCACAACAAGGTAAAACTGGCGTGGGTACCAGGACACAAAGGTATCCAAGGAAATAAAAAGGCTGATGAACTCGCTAAAGAGGGATCAGATCTACCATTCACAGGAACCGAACCTGTATTTGGGATAAGCAAAACTTCTGCTCGATAGGCAGTGAACAGGTGGATAACGATGAAACACCAAATTCACTGGCAACAGATAAGAGGGCATAGAATCAGTAAGCTCATGCTAAGAGGACCAAACCCACGCATGGCTACGGAGGCACTACAACTCGCAAGGCCTCAGATATCCAGCATTGTGGTATTACTAACGGGGCATTGCTTGCTGAAACACCTTCATGTAATGGGATTACACAATGATCCTAATACGTGTAGACTTTGCATGGAAGAGGAAGAAACCTCATACCATGTGATCTTCGAATGCGAAGCTCTTACTGGGCGACGTTTCATCCTTTTCGGCCTAGAACCGGAAATAACGCCCCAGAAACACTTGGTAGGAAACCTATTAAAACTAACCAAAGACACAGGACTATTCCAAAGATAGTACCTGAATACGGGGAAAGCAGTGGAATACAATAGACCCAAGAGGCCGCAGTGTTCTGGGCCAAACCTAACCCTACCTGCTTACAACCGATAAAGGTAAAAATGACCCGGAACGTCAAATCTACTTTATTATTAAAAATTTCTTTTTTTTTTATCTACAAATAGTTGAAACAATTAATAAAACGTAGACAACAAAAGACAAAATGGCTGGATCAACTATATTTTTTCTACATTTACGATTTTGATTGTAACTTGCTTCTTTTATAGTATCACCTACATAAGTATTCTTTAATTTCTATTTTGTAACGAAACGCCTATAAGAATGATTAAAATTTACATTTTACTTACAC